GGCCGGTTCACGGGCCCAACCCTTAGTTTTTGGCGGGCCGGTTAAGGGTCACTCAAGGGAGGCCCGTGGGCCCGGCGGGCCGGGCTGTGACCCGTGGACTGGCCACCCCTAACAAAAACACAACTAAAAAAAACTCCCAAAAAGATAATAAACAAATGCTACCAACAGGAGAATACACCAAATACACTCTCAACTGGAGAAAAAAAAAATAAAACACAAACGAAACAACACAAACACAAAAACACACCTAAACAAAACCCAAACAACAAAAGCTAAAACAGAGAAAATACAGAAGCCCTCTCCACCGGACGAAGATCTCATCACCACCACATCCCGAGTCAACACCCAACGAGGACTATCGAGAGAAACCACAAGCTCCATGACCCGAACAACGGATCAAAAAACTCCCCTAATGGGCTAACGAGATCCGAACCACAGACCCGTCAGCCTCTCCTAGTACCACAGACGCAACTCCAGCTTGCCCACTCCACAGCCTCCCCACGCACACTCCGGAGCCGCCGCACCACCGCATGAGCGCCAACTGAGAAATCAATCTTCCCGCGTTATGAAAATAAAAATAAAAGATAATAATATAATTTAATCGATATTAATTCATTGACGTAATTTAATTTATTCTATTATTGTTTTATAGTGTATACATATTAATTTTCTTATTATGCTAACCAAACAAAAATAAAACCAAACTTTTTTATTCAAATATCACATAATTGAAAAACAAAACAAAACTTCGATTGAATACAATGAATATAGTTGCAAACTGGATCAGGAACTAATCAAGCCCAATATGAAAACCAAACGGTCCATAGAGTGTAAGCAATGCTAATGAGGTCATGCTGTAACCACGGTTTAACTACCTATGGTGGGTCCAGTAATCTTTGACAACTACTAGGACAGTGATGAGGTAGAGTCGCCAAACAATCGGCCGCAAAGATAGTTTCCCTATAACAATGAAACACATTAGCTCCCAGTCCCAGTTAAGCAAGTTCCGGATGGCCCGAACCAAGCTACGATGCACTCCAAAACTTTTCTTTAATCCCCATTTTGTCATTGTCACCATACTTTTATTTTTTATTCCAGAGTTCTCGTTTGTACAAAACTAGTACAGAGCCCGTGCGATGCACGGGGTGCACAATTTTAAGGTTATTTATCCAGGCTTATAATTATATACATGAATAAAGAAAAATGTATGGGATATATATAGTACGTGACCCGTGCGAAGCACGGGATATATTTATTTGGAAAATATTATATTATAAGATGCAATATTCAATAAAAGTTTATAATACGCAAGAAAATTGTACAATGTTCAATAAAAGTTTTATAATATTCAAGTGGAGTCTTAAAGTCTCTTGTACGTTAAGACTACTGACAACATAATATTTTAATCAATGAGTTTCCTCTCCTTGTAGCCAAATTGTGAATGTGATTTGAGGAGTACAACAAATCGATATATAACTCTTGCTTTTTTCATTGTAGTTTTTTTTTTATAATAAATTTAAAGATATTCTAAAATATAGCAAAAATTATTATTTTTATTACAATTAGGAATTTTACTAAATATAGACTCTCAATCTATGGTGTTAATCAACGTTTAAGTCTAAAAAATTAAAAATTTCTACCACTTTTAATCAACGTTTAAGTCTAAAAAACAATAGAGTTATTATAAGTTTTTTTCTACATCTTTTAAGACATTAAATATGAGCATGTTAGGGCTAGTTTGTAAAATAATTAATATATTATCTCACTAAAACATTTATACTAATAAAAATTTAATTTTATCATATAAATTTATCCTTTGATATAAGATAAAGTAACAGTTTTACTTATTGTTGTTAAATAGTGTAGTAGAATTGTTATTAAATTTTATGATTTTTTTTTTTTTTTTTACAATATGGATTAATATTTTTTTATGATTTGATAATATAAACAAATTTATACTTAACTTTGACAAATAAAACAAATAAATACTTTAGTAAGTATTTAAAATACCAAATATAATCAAATAAGTCAAAGTGTACATTTTTATTTGGTATTTGATTTTTTTATTATTAAATTATTATACTTATTTTTTTAAAATGAAACAAATAAATAAATTAATTAAATAAATAAAATATTATAATACTAAAATAGTAATGGTATTTAATGAAGTTGACTTTTCTGGATAGTAAAGGTAGTAAATAGAATCTCCTTTTATATAAGTATAGATATAATATTATATTATGTTGTTCAAAATAGTAATACATTTATTGCATTGACTTTTCAACTTACTAAATTTCGTAAATGGTACATCTTATTATATAAGTATAGATAGATATTATTAATTTTATTTATAAATATAAAATATACAGGAGATTTTGACGTAATATTTGCATCGTAAACTAGATAATAGATATTTTTGAAAAAAAAAAACTAGATAATAGATATTTTAAATTTCAAATTTTTCTTTATATTGAGTCCATACATTTGTACTTTGTATCCCAGGCCGGCTAATTATTGGATCCTCTCACTTTACCGCCGCCGCCGCCGTCCAACCCGCCGGAAAGAGCAGCCCCCTTAATCTTAGCCCTCAGGTTTGCGGTTTTTTCCTCTAAGTTTCTCTAACCTATAAATTTTGAAGTTTACTGGCGTAGCTTGATTTGATTGTTCGAATATTTTTTCTGAGGTTTTATCTTGTTTTGAGCTTGATGATGTTAAAATTGCTACCTAAAGAGTGTAGTTAAATGAGCGCACTGAACACTTTGATATATCCGGTTTGGATGGGACCGATGCATTTTCCCAATCTTTGATTCTCGTCTCGTTTCGCTCAGAATCAACAACCGATGCGATCGTCTTTCCAGTGGTCTCAAGACCGGGACCTGAACTATCTATATAGGGACGCCCAACCTGTGAACCAAAGCGCATTCTAACTCCCTTTGGTACAAAAGAAAGTCTGCTTGCAAGATGCGCTTCTCTTCTCAATTACATCGACCCTGACGGCGAACAGGATGTATGGGGAACTTATGCCCGTACGTACTCGAATTGAGAAAAAAATAGAAAGAAAATATAGGGCCAACTCTTCTAGTTGTGACCCAACGAACGAAGCGAAGAGTTGGTGTTATATCCGTTTTTGCTATTGAATTAGGAACCGCTGGCAAGTTCGTAAGGATTGCTCGAGGCGGTTCCAAGGTGTGCGACCTAGGACGGATCCTATCCCCTATCCAATGGGTATGCCCTTGTAAAAGAAAAAAAAAGTCAGTCTTTGAAGACGTGCTCCGAGGTTCGTTCCCCCCCCATCCCTCGCGTACCGGTTCTATGAATTGGGTAGAGTTTATCTGGTTGAGGAGAAATATAGACCCCCCAGGGGGCTGTGCTATAATCCGCTTTAACCGTAGCAACTCTTCTCCTCTCTTCCCTTGACGACTTATGCCGCTTCATCTTCCCACCTGCAACTACGAAATAGGCTAGCTGACCTAACCCGTTCTACCTTTTCATTTAGCCCCGCCCATCTCTGTCCCTTACCATCTTTTTAATCCCGATCAGGTACTCGTTTTCTCCTCAAAGACAGCTTATTTGGACATGGTGAATCAGGGTATGAGTAATGGCAAACCGCATCGCTTTAAACAAAGCCACTGTAACCCATCTGTTGATCGCTCCGCTTTGTCTGACCGCGACTCTTCGATCGAAAGGAACTCATAAACTGTAACCCATCACACGACAGGCACGTGCGTGCCACTCGCCTGGTGATAACAATGCCTTTCTGAGACAGGCCGTAGTCAACCGACAGGGTTCATTTCTAAGTAGGTGTGGGCTAGGGGTTGATTCTGCTTTAATAGTATAGGGTTGGACAGGGATCCTTTCTTCCACAGGCTTCGACTTATTAAGCATCTGTTCATCTCTGTTATCCAAAGATTCCATAAAAAAGGGATGGGTCGGAGAGCAAAGTGGGGTATTGAACTCCTGTAGCCCTCTCCTGTAAGTCGAAGCTATGCGGGTTCAAAACGGTGCATCCCGATGGGCGCGCGAGTGTTCGCGGGAACGGTTAGGATTTTGAAGGTGCATGTGAGTCTCACTTTGCTCCCCTCCTCATCCAAGTCACCATGCACCAACTCAAGTATGTTCAACTTCGGAGTACACATAAGGTAAGACTAGCGTAGGCTGGGTTCGCAATAAGATTGGTCGGTTACGGAGTAGAAGGAATAGGTGTGGCGATCTTCCAAATCAAGAAAGTCAAGACCGTCCCTCTCAGTACCACGATAGAAAGGGAGGCGTGAGACACTTTCGCTTGCGCTGTTGCGGTTTAAGCTTGCTCCTTGCAGAGACTCTCTACGCTTAGTAACAATTCGGTACTTTGGTAGAGAGAAGTTTACGAAAGGCAGGGGACTCTAAAGCCCCAGCTGCGTTTGCCACAAGGAGAGCTGAATATGCTTTTCTTGTTCGCTTTGCATGAAATTGTTTCTTCTAGCACACCAAGAAGGGCGTACTTGCGAAATACTCTACCCGGATAACACAACTCTGCTGCTACCCACACTACCAAATTCTCCTCACCAAGCGTCTATTGGTATCCTCAAATGAGTTCTGAAGTCTAATTGGAAGACTGCTATTGAATCAGCGCTTTCAATGGTTCGCGACTCCACTGCTATTGATAAGGGCTGTTCCGGGAAGTATACGAAGGCTCTGACAAGACCTACCTAACAGAACCAAGAATGTGAGAATTTTGATGCAGGTCTATCGTAAAAAAAGAGAAAACCGAGGGTCTGATAGGGAGAGAGGGGAACAAAGTAGCTCCCCTTTTTTTTACACTCAAAGAAAAGGAGTCCGGGGACGCTACCAAGCAATCAATCCTCCGCATTCCCACTAAAGCACTTAAAAGGGCATTTCCGATAAGGGAATACCCACGGGACGGGGCCAAGGCCTTCATGTATGGGTGACAGATCGGCCATAGGAGTACTCCGGGATATAAACCTTTATATATTATACTTATAAAATGAGGTTAGAATAAAAAGAAGATAAGTCGTGTGGAAGGTCTTTGTGTGCCTACCAGATTCATGGTATGCATGGTTGCGGAAAGATCTTTCCCTACGCTCGAAAGAAATACGAATGCCCCCTGTCCCGCGACTTGATCGTCAATAAAGGTAGGAGCTTTGGCACTATATCTCAAATTTTCGCATAATGCAGTCTTACTCCAGAAAACGGCATGGCGATTCCTCACCGAGCCGAACTACAAATGCTATGGGTCATAACTTTGAAAGAAAAATACAAGATTGGACATACCTTTGAAACAACTCCGGAACCACTGACTCCATCTTTAAAGCACTAAGCCTCATTTCAAGAGCCGCCAAAAGAGGCGGATTTTCTATCTATAGTCTTATCTACTTCGACCCTGCCTGGGTAAGGCAGTCGGTTGAGCCGGTGAAAAGCTTGGAAAAGAAGATGGGGGAGCGAATCGATCAATCCTTATTGAACTGGTGATGGGCATGTTTCATGCAGGTTTCTTCCCTAGATCGTGAATAGACGTGTTTTGCTGAGGCAATTACTTCTTGTACACGGGAAATCTTTGAGATCAACAATCTAGTCATTAGTTAGGAGATTTTCTCGAGGGAAACCATTCCTATTTCCCCTTCAAAAGCACTCGTTGTCTATATAGGTTGAGGCACGGAGAGAAGCGAAGAAGTAGGAATATGCGTCAGGAGTAGACAAAGTCAGGAGAAGCAAAGCCTCGGAGAGGAGGCCTTTTTTACTGCCAGTAGAGTAGCTCCTAACAACCTGTGCAGTTGAAAGGGACCAAGGGACCAAGGGAGCATGGTTGGTAGGTTGGATGGTTGCTGGGTTGGCAGAAGAGCCAGCAGTAGGCGAGCATGGGAAGAGTTCCCAAAGAAGACTTTTCGAAGCGAAGTGAAGTCAGAAGTAGTAAAGGAGAGGAAGGAAGGGATTATCAGGGGCGCGCTCTCTTTCTTTCCCTATCTCTTTCAATCCAATCGCTCTTCTGTAGGACTCGTCAAGTTAGGGCAAATCAAAAGCGTCGAGAAAGAAGCTGGCAGAGGGCATAGTCTTGATTCCGAAGCCGAAGGAGCAGGAGTTTTCAAATCCCAATCGACCCTCTATAAAAAAGTCTCATCTTCTGAGAACTCGGACAGGAAAGCTAACGAGGAGCGTAGCCGCGAGACCGGGTTGAAGATGCTCGACTGAGAGGAAAATAAGCTATTTTTTCCTTATGCTTCCCTCTTTCTTTTTCTGAATCCCTTTTTTATGACTTCACTGCGCTTCGTGGACTTCTCTCGTCAGCCTAAAGCAGGCACAGAGTACTATACTATTAATAAATTGACTATCTAAATAAGGTTGTCCGGCTCCTACTTCGCCTAGATTATCAGCGCCTAAAAGCTCTGAGCCTTTCTTTTTGCCCTGGACGATGCTAACCCTAAACACTTTCTAACATAAAAAAGCCCCTACCCCCTTGACTAGGCTGGTAAATTCCATCCCCCAAATGGGGCTTAGCCATGTTTCGCGTCCTTCTGTGAAGGGTGGCGAAGATTGTAATTACAATGATAAAGAAATCGTCTGACAGAATAGAATTAGAATAGAGTCTTCCCATCGCTCCAGCGTTAGATCGCTGTTAGTGCCGAAAGCTTTGTCAGTTAAGCGAGAGTACCTCGGAAAGCAGCACATAGAAGTACTCGAGTGAAGAAAGAACTAACAAGTTAAAAGGGTGGTTAAAAGTGCTGCCTTTGTTCTAGATTGATTTTGAACATCCTAATTGTTGCATTCTATCAATATTTCTCCAGAATCTCGATTAAGTGTTAGCAAAACTTTGTAAAGAACCAATAAAAGAAAAAGCCTATTGGTTTCTGGTGGAAAAGGTGATCATTTGTAACACCTATAAAATCAGGCACATTTCTTTCTAAATTTACGAACACCCAATGTCTGTGAGTGTTTGAATGTATATGTGTGTGGAATAGCCAAATTATGAGAGTAATTGTTTTTCAGCTTGTAGATTTTAATTTCTATTTTGGTTCATTAAGTTTTTTCACTCTGATTAATTTCCCTGTTATTTTTATACCACCACTTAGCAATTCCTATCTTTGTGTAGTTTGTGTGTGTAAAACATCAAACAAAATAAACAGACAAACAAGTTGAAGTAACAGTAGTGAGGCACAACTATTTCACTCGCATATTTATAAAAAATTTAATCCAAGTTGTCTGTATTTCTTTTTGCATTGATGGGTACAATGGGTTGGGCACATATTGTTCGGGTGCCAATCCAGGGCCAGATTTGGCCATTGCTGTCTAAGTCAGCTTATAATGAATGAATGATTTTTATTTGTGGGATTGAACTTTTGAATTACATTCTTTGTTATTATTATGGTACTTCAATATATCGAGTTTGTCTGTCATTTCTTTTGCAGTAAAAAAGTTATGTTCACGTTCTGATTTGATTATCCCATCCTTAATCAAATTCATTTCATCATTTGACTGAATTGGCCCGAATATTTCTCTGACATTTAGTAGCAGGTGCTAAACCTTGGTTGATGGAATCATAAACATCATTTCATTTGCTACAACATTTCAATGGCAAAGCCTCTTAGGAAGCTCGTGTCTTGTGTTATCCTTGACTTGGATGGTACACTTCTTAACACAGGTATGAATGCTATTTGTTTGATCCTTTATGTGCTTTTGAGTTTGACTATATTGTACTGCAAAAATTACATGTTCACTTAATTGATGCAATCGGAAAAGTAAATGACTTCCCATTAAATATCAATTTTGCACCATTCTGAAGCTCCTATCTGCAAGACATATTTATATTTTATACTATTTCTATTTATTTTCTAATTCAGTAGAGTAGTTAAATGCGAATTTTATGTCTTCATATCAGCCCTTTACCGTTGTTTTCCCTTTATGATCGGTAGTTGAACCATGTTTTCTTCTAAATAATAGTCTCATCCAACGTGTAATTTTTTTGGCTTTAAACTTGTGTTGGTATGTGCCTTAGTTTCCAACTGTCGTGTGTTTTTGTTTTCCTTATATGTTTTTCCCTTTTTTTTTTGTTCTTCCTTTCCCATTTTCATTTTGGGTGCCAGATGGCATGGTGAATGAAGTCTTGAAAGTTTACTTGGTTAAGTATGGAAAACATTGGGATGGACGAGGAGTGGATAAACTTATTGGAAAAACACCCTATGAAGCTGCAGCAGTTATTGTCGAGGATTATGAACTCCCCATTACAACAGATGAACTTCTGTCTGAAAGTGCTCCATTATTTGCTGACAAGTAATAACTATTTTAGTCAATCGTTCATTGACATCATATGAACTCTACTATTGAATTACATCTTGAAAAATGATAAGTTGAGTTTGTTCATAAAGTAGGATCATTCGAATTTTTAGACATTTGGGATGATAAAAAGCTACCGACTTGTTTTGTTTTGTTTGTAGGTGGTGCAATATCAAAGCACTGCCTGGTGCTAACAGGTTAATTAGCCATTTGAGAGGACATGGTATTCCTATGGCCTTGGCCTCGAATTCTTCAAGGAAAAATATCGAGACCAAGATATCTTCCCACAAGGGTACTTAGTTAAAAGTGAAAATCTCATCCGGATTAGTTATTAATAATTTTGGTTTTTATCTTTGTTCATTTACCTTTTCTTCACGTGTAGGTTGGAAAGAATCATTCTCCATTATTGTCGGTGGTGATGAAGTCACTGCTGGAAAGCCATCTCCCGACATGTAATGCAAACAAATTAAAATCTTCTCTTGTCATTTTGGTTACTTTTTGGCATGTGGGAATTAATTTTATGCCGTATAATTGATCTTGTGCTTCATTCTATAAAGTTATATCGAAGCTGCAAAGAGGCTTAAGATGGATGTTTCGAGCTGTCTCGTCATTGAAGATTCATTGTGAGTGTCACTTGATCTTTGATCATTTTCAATAGCCATGATTGTGGTGTCAAAATTTTCTTTACCGATACCAGTGAACTCTTTGTCTGATTTTCTTTTATTTTTGGGAGAATTGCCAAAACCGACCTCTAAGATTTGGCCTCATAACAAAAAGCTCTTGTTTCCTTTCAAAAATACTAGTCCATTTGAAGTGTCCTTGAAGTTTGTATTTACTTATAATTTCATATTTTGCGATATATTTATTGTATGGTAAGGCCAGGTGTGACTGCCGGTAAGGCCGCCGGAATGGAAGTTGTTGCTGTCCCATCTTTACCCAAGCAATCCCACCTTTTCACGTTAGCGGATGAAGTGATAAACTCCTTACTGGATTTTCGACCTGAAAAGTGGGGCCTACCCGCATTCGATGACTGTAAGAGCCTCTCTTTTCTCCACATTGGGTTTTCGTAAAAAAATTCTAATGGCGTGTTTGGATACAAATATATCCGCTCAAAACGAGTTTTTTTGGTTAACCAGGGTTAATTTTGAAAAAGTTGTATGGTTAGTTGTTAGTGGTATTTTGATTTTATATTAAAATAATATTTAAAATAAAATAATTAATGTTGATTTGATGTAAAAGTAGGAGAGAGATAATGTTAAGTAGTGATTAGTTAAAATTATGTGAGTGAATGAATAGTAAATTTAAAGTTGATGTGATGTGCAATAATGATTGGTTCGTATCATTTAATTATATTGATAATGTTGAGGATAGTGAAGTTGAATTAAAATTGAGTTATATTTTGAATGTTTTTTGATATACAAACACACCCTAAGTCTTTGGGCTTTGTATTAAATTAAAACCATCTTTAATCTGCAGGGATAGAAGGTACGTTACCAATAGAACCTTGGCACATTAGTGGCCCTGTCGTGAAAGGTTTTGGCCGTGGCTCGAAGGTTTTAGGAATCCCAACAGGTTTTTGATTCTTGAATTCTCTTAAATGTCATTTTATCCAATTATTTCTTGAGCAAAAATTAGTCCTGCTCGTAACGCCATAGCAATTTCAGTCCAAAAGTTCCAACTTTTCGGCTTTTGGTCCCGTGATTTAATATATTGCTGCAATAGAAAAACTGCGAAATTCTCGATTTATTCATTTTTTCTTTTAGTTGTCTCTTAATAGCTGTTTGCATCTATTAAATAATCATCTCCTTTCCAGCTAATTTGTCGACTGAGGGATTCTTTGATCTCCTTTCCGAACATCCTTCTGGAGTTTATTTTGGGTGGGCCGGACTATCGGAACACGGAATTTATAAGATGGTGATGAGCATAGGTTGGAACCCGTACTTCAACAACTCGGAGAAGACAATCGTGAGCCATTTAGCTCTTTTTTTTTTCTTTTTTCTTTTCTATCTTATGGTCTATTTGTCTCCTCTTTGGTAAAATAACATGTTTGTATTCGGTCGAGATATGTTTTTTCAGGAGCCATGGTTGCTTCATGATTTTGACGAAGACTTTTACGGTGAGGACTTGCGTCTCGTTATTGTTGGCTATATACGGCCGGAGGTATGTTAAACTCACTTAAGTTTTACACAAAATGCAGAACTGAATTTAGGATTAATTGCAAAAACCACCTCTATGGTTTAACCTAATTAATTAAAGCTACCATTATCTTCCAAAATTACAACTTACCGCGTGACAAGATATATATGTCACACACACACACACACACACACACACACACATATATATATATTACGACACAAGTATTCTTGTAATGATTTACAAATAACTAATAAGGCAATAAATGTGAAATGGTATGTTGTAATTATGTACAGGCCAACTTTACATCACTCGAGGGACTGATAGCAAAAATCCACGAAGACAGGAAAATTGCCGAGAATGCCCTTGAAATGCCTCTGTATTTGAAGCACAAGGATGATCCTTATTTGAATACATCCTTGCAGCAGAAGAGCTAATTAGGTGTTAGATTTGTCAGAATAATTTTTGGAGTCGTATCGTGGCTCGATTGATTCAAATGGTTGTGGAATAGGAGCATTCTATCTCAAACACAGATAAATTCCATTTATATGTGAAATAAGAAACTAAGAAAGTGGATTGTTTCATCATATTCTGTAAAGAATCAATTGAGATACCATCATACCAATCCTTGCTTCTTAGTAATGGTGTGGGAGATTGTGGGGAGTTCGATTCAGTTTGCTAAAATTGTGTGCCAAGTGCTGGTGTTTTTTTCCTTAAGGGGTGATTGGTATTTTTGATTCAAGTATGACTTTTTTTAATATGGTGTCTTATAAATGCTTTCAAGCTTTCTATATTTAGAATATCAAAGGTACTTTTTTTTTTGTCAAAAGTTTCTAAAAAGGTATTTTAACAACAACCTTTTATATATATATATATAGATTATTATTATTATTATTATTAAGTACAAATTTCGAAAGCCAATTGTGGTCAGAGTTAAAATTTCGTCCGACCTTATGAGTTTTAGTGACATAACNAACTTATATTTATTTCTATATATAATATTTAAATTATTTATCAGTCATAGTGAAAAATAAAATCATCTATCAAACTTATTATATTATATGAGTATGGGTTAGAATATATAAATATTTTAATTATTCTCTACAAACTATAATTTAAATGATGATTTGACATATGACTATTTGCTATCATATTTTATAAAATATGGCAATTTAACAAAAATTCTGTTGGTTTATTATTTTATTACTGTATATATTTGGTTCCTGAAATAATTATTTACTTGTATTTATATATTTTTTAGCACTAGTGTTTTAAACTCATGGGGGGATAAACTTACCAATTACCATTTTGGATTATTTTATACTAAATACATTATATTGTACATATATTTATATGTTATTGTATGAATAACTTGAGAATATATATATTTTTTCAAATCGGTATTGACTGATCAATTTCGGTTCATTTTATATATGCAATATTACCTAACCAATTAACTAACACTTTTAAAAATATTTATTTTTTTATTCATACATACAATATGAGTGCCAAACAAGGTCGTAAAATGAAGCTTAATTTAATATTATATAAGAAGTATGGGCAACAAATAAAAATGTTATTAAGTTTTTAAGAAGAAAAGTCATTAATACTTAATAAGAAATACGGAAGACAAAGAAAACATGCAACGATATGTGTAAATAGAAAAAAATCATAGTTAGAAAATCTCACTGTGTTTCAAGAAATATTTTTTATTTCATATTTTTCTCTAATTTACAAATAATTATTACTAATTTAATTAATCTATAATTATATCCGTTAATTTATATTTTTGAAATAAAACTATAGATTAGGTAGAAATTGAATTATTGATTATAACTAAAAATAAAAATAAAAATATAGTAGATAAAACTAAAATAATTGATTGAAAATGTTTGAAAAGTCTAATCAATTAGATCAATTATTAATATCATGTAACCTAAAATAAAAATAAAAATCACGGATGGTTAAAAAAAAATTACCAAAATAAAATAAGAAAAAAAAAAGTAAAAAAAATAATTAAAATAAATCTTCATTTAATAACAATATATTTTTTTTTTTCAGAAAATTATACTATTTTAAATAAATGTAAATATTTTTATATAGATATAGATCGATACTAAAATTTTTACATCTTATTATATTTGTTATTCCTAGAATGCCACTGATATTACAAATTAGACCAGTAATATTATATGGATCACTAAATTGGTACGACTACCATTTAAAAATTTCACCGATATACTAATTGGACCTGTAATACCAAACCAATAATTAGGTTGGTATAACTACCGTTAAAAACACTAAAACTGAATAGAATCTTACAGTTAAATAACATATGGTTGTATGTATTATTAGGCTGATCATTAGTTAAATATTTGACCTAAATATAATTTGCACACCTGTAACAACATACCAATAACTAGGTTGGTATAAGTATAACTACTGTTAAAAACAGTAAAACCAAACAGAATCTTAAAGTTGTATAACATATGGTTGTATGTAGCATTAGGCTGATTAATTAAATACGAATGAATTGCTTTTGGGGCTTGATATGATTATCTTAATTCATAGATACCCCTTCTAATTTATATAAATATCACAAACAACCCGCTACTTTTGATTTTGAATCAAACCTAAAATTAAGCCATTATTTTTCATCTTTATTCTGCCCTTTAAGTTAGATCAGAAATCAAAATTGGAAATGTTTTCTTTCTTTCTTTGACCACAAAAAGTGTATTCTATGGTCAAAGCAAAGCTGAGTTGGTCCAATTTATTTGCAACTGGCGTGACCATTTCTCAAATGATGGCTTCACAGGAATTTTCCTCATTTTAATTGAGAAAATAAACTTATTGTATTTAAAAGGCTAAATTAAAAATGTAACCTTTGATTAAAATATTGAATTTAGGTTCTTTTTTTCCATCTTCATAACATGTTTGGTGGTTCCAGGGTGTGGTAGTAGCCGGCACGACTTACGGTTAAAACAGATTGCCCAATCACTTAGGGTGTGATTGTTTATGGATTCAACTAGTTTTTATTTGGTTTGTTTTTTAACTATAGTTAATTTTAGAAAAATATGGTATGGTTAGTTGTTAGTGAATATATTAAATAATATTTAAAAATAATAATTAAAGTTGATTTGATGTAAAGTAAGAGAAAAATGATTGGAAATGATAGTTAGTTAAAATTATGTGAGTGGATGAATAGTGAATTAAAATTGATGTGATGTGTAAAAATGATTGTTTGATATTATTTAATTATATTGATAATATTGGAGATAGTGGGGTTGAGTTAAAGTTGAGTTAAATTTGAGTTTTGATTAGTTTTTTTACTGTTCAAACCATATCCAATCGCCCCCTTAACATATTTTGATTTCCTTTTTATAATAATATAATAATTATATACACCTAATAGCTACCTAACTATACCTAATAGCTAGCTACTTATAATTTTTTTAAAACATACACACATTTTAACATTAGAATTTTTAATATCAACATAAAATGAACTATATAATTAAATTTTACAATCTACGTCTACACTTTTGTTCAAATAGCGTGATGTATTGACGCGACTAACTGTTAAGTTGCGAATAACATTACTTATATATAAATTTATTGATGAGAGTATGAGAAATTGAGAATAGTAAGTAGTGATGTGAGAATTCTATGTAATAGAATTTTAATTGTATATGTTTTAATGACATAATAACGCGTGTTATTGTCTTGTTAATTCACATATTTCATTATTTTTAAAATCAACAGCTACTATATATATGTATATATATAATTTTCGGTCATCATCTATATCAAATAATTATGTAAAACTAGTTTTATGAATATCCTATGTGCCATTATTTACATAGATATTATCATATAGTTGGTAGTCGATAGTCTTGAAAATAATATTCAATTAAAAATGGAACTAAAAAATTAAAAATATCAATAATATAATCTTGCTTTATTTTTTTACACTAATACGCTAGAGCCAGATGGTACATCACTATACATTAATTTAGATGTATTTTTAAGTTATGTCACAAGAATCATAGTAAAATTTCTAGGTGCTTTTGCTTTCAATACAATGTCAATCAAATTTTCTTTAGAAAATAGTAAAATTAATATACTTATTTTGAGAAAATTAAATGTGAGACAAGAGAATAACCATAAAAGATACATTATTGAAATGGACGGATTATACACTCTGAAGAAAATAGATACATATTTAAAATATTTTTCCAGGCGAATAATAGTAATAATAAAAAATATAAATAACATAAATTAAATCTACATAACGCGTGAGACCACTGTACAAGAGTACAAGATTCAGTACAGTCTACCAATCCAACCAAAATACAGCCGTCGCCAGGTCAGCCGCCGGTTTAGACTCTCATGTCACCCAATCTAATCTCCACCATCAAAACCCACTCGCTTTCGCCACGCGTCGCACATCCAAACGTTAACCAGCAATCATAGCCACCACACCTGCAGGTGAAGCTAGCAAGCACCCACCCAAAAACACGTCTCCAAAACAAACACGTCTTTGAAAGACGTGGGCAATGACCAAACACCATCCGCCACGTCATCAGAAGTTCCTTCCCACACAAAACCCCTCTTTGACCGTCCCCCAACGGCTAGTTTTCCTCTTTCTTAATTATTCTTATCTAATACACATATTATTGTCCTGACTCATTTACTTTATTTAATAAATCTATGTTTATAATAATAAATCAAATATTTTGTTTTACACTCCTTCTTATTTTTATTATTGTCGTTTTGAGAAGCAACATGCTAATTGAAAAAAAAATTTCTTACTAATATTAACCTTAGTTATTGGATGTTATATAAAACGATGGACATGGAATATAAAGAGACATTGTATATTAGATGAATGGTTAAAAATGAAAAAATATAAACAAAATAGTCAAAATGATATTTATTTAATTAATGATCAATTAAGGCAGAATGACAAATAATAAAAATAGGAGGAAGTATTATTTTTTAGAATATTACGTTTTATTTTCAATGTATGTAATTTGTATATTTGTTAGAACGTAATTACTAATCTTTAAACTCGTATACCAATCAAATTCATATTTTATTTTGTATTTCATTGAGATATTAATATAGTCTTATGTAATTTCTTTTTATTTCACCGGAAAATTCGAGTAGTTTCTATGAAAACCAGACCTTGTTTTCTGAGAGAAATATCTGTCCCTTCGAAACCTGCTTTTTTATTATTATTTAAAGGAGAAATCCAGAAAGGGGTGGAAGAAGAAAAAGATAACATTTTTAAATTTCATTTTAAAAAAAAAATGTGCGGAAAAAGAAACCTCTGACTTTCATTTACGCGAGAGCCCATTTTGTCCCACACTCGTGATTTATTATATATTAGGAAGAATAGTTAAGACGACCCGTCTTGTTTCGTTCTTCATCACATCTGATTAGGGCTGTTTTCTGCTCACAGATTTGGGAATTTAGTTGGTTTAGGGTTGTTATTTCCTCAGATTATTGAGCCATCTCAGGTATTTTTGCTGAAAGATTGCATCTTTAAGTCTGAACTCGACAGAAAAAAAAAATGGCGATTGGGAAAAATTGTAGGTCAAGGGCAAATGGGGAGTACGGTATGGGGCTAGTGAGAAGCTCATCGTTTGGGAGAAAAAGAGTTGCCCTTTCGAATGTTGTCGGCTCAGATTTTCAGAGCGACGATTCTGCTGCCACGACTACTTCGAAACGACGGTGCTCTGATCAAGATTCAGTCTTTTCAGAAGAAAAATCTGTGCTTCAGAATTTGCCTCAAGAAATTCTGGTTGGTCTGCATTTTTGTTCGTGGGTTTTGCTTTAGAACTGTTGAAATTTTTTTATTTTTAAACTGAACTTGTTAACAAGAGTTTTGTACTGTGCTTTTGCAGATCAAAGTACTCTGTGGCGTGGAGCATGATGATTTGAAGAGATTGTTTTTCGTTTCTAAAGCAATTAGAGAAGCTGTAAGCTCTGATTTTTCTTCTTCCTTACAGCATTATTAATATTTCTTTTTTTCGGTTTGATTTAGTTCGTACATTGATGAATTATAGTTTTGTTCTGCATTTTTAAAACTGTCCTGTTTGCTAAAATATTCATGCTTTCTTTCCTTTGAACTGAAAACAGACGATGATTGCCAAGCAACACCATTTTGCCTACAGCACTCCAAAAAAGCTGTTTGGGTTTCAGGACGATGGGTATTTTGGTAATTTTGACGAGGCCGAGGCCCCGAATGCCCCGAAGCAATCTAGGGTTCCACGGCATAGATTAAACGCAAAGAAATTATCCGAAATTTCAGTTAAACTATTTGCTTCCGGTGAAGATAACGATGTGTGTTTTTTGCCGAGGCGGAATTTAAGTTTGAAAATGGAAATTGGCAGCTAAATAAATTATGTTCTTGCTCTTTGTAAAGAATGTGTTGTTTAAGCTGTAGAAAGATTATTTTGATAGGTAATTTGTGACTGTGTGTGTGTTTGTTTGTACATGTTGAAGCAAATGTCTTCAAGCATAGTTTTCTCTTTTCTTCAACTCTTCCCATTGAAGAACAATTTGGCTCGTCTGTATTTTGTTTTAGTACACATGTAGCAGCTGGATGGAATGTAAGAAGTATACGACTAACCAAATATGTATTTGTTATTAGTTTATTGAATGGATCGAATAACATGTAGTCTTGATATGCAATCTTTTTTAATGAAAGTTTTTGGTTATCTTTTGGCAATGTCGAATTCCTTTTCTGTAATTGTTTATCCTACGTTGGTTTGTGTTTGCGGATCGAGCTAGGGGCTAAAGTGCAATTTATTTTGATTCTGAGGTTGATATGTGAAATGTGTTTCTGATCTCGTTTTCTTGGCTCATTGCAATAGTCTTGAGTAGTGTTGTCAAATTAAACGAGTCGGGCTTGTCTTGGCTCGCGTTCGACTTGTTAAGGCTCGACTTCGGCTCGAGCTCGAGGCCTTAACGAGCCGAGTTCGAGCTCATTTTTGGCTTGGTGATTTGTCATGTTTTGTTTTGGTACAAAATTTATATGTGATATCAGATTTAGTAGGAAACAAAAACTTATTTTCATGTGTTGTTATGGTACTACATTTATCTGTGATCAGATTTTGAAGAAATAAACAGCATTGTTTCTTAATTTGATTTTCACTTGTTTTAGTATATAATTAAAAATTTAATATAAAATTATATAGGTAAAAATTTATTATTTCACTTGTTTTACTATATCATTTAACAGTTTAAATCATATTTTTATAGATTCAAAATTTCATTACAGTATGCAGCAGTCTTGTTACTTTACTGTGGTTTAAATTCTTCACTGGAATAAATTTGAATAAAATTATATACACTCCATTTGTATTATGAAGATATGATTGAAATAAAGCGATTTTCATGTCATGTTCTTGAAGACTTTATTAAGATTTAGGACATTATTTCCTTGAAAAATGAGTGCAAGGAGGTAAAATTCTATATACTCTCTTACTCAAGTAGCAATTTGGGCAGACTTGGATTTCGCCTAAATTACGGGTTTAATCGTGGATTCGGATTCACATGCTTTGACCGGATGGCTTAGAAGGTATATAATCCGGCCCAAAGTCAATTATGACATGAATAATTTGTTGTTTGCATTCCTGGGAAGGGGTGTAAGCCATCTGAGCCAACCTCAATTCACTTACTGATTTTTTATATTCTGAGAAGCACGGTAGCAAGATGCATTTTTTTTTGGCTTATGACACAACTCACCATTAAACCGTGACACTCCTTCGAGCTGATCATACATCATGGTCCTAATTGTTTTCTTATGTCATCCATGGCTACAATAGGTATTGTGCAGGCTTTACTCAACTATTCCAACATTCAACCTCATTATTGTTGATGATTCTCCATCGGTTTAAAAAACTAGGAAATAAAGAATTTGCTCAACATAGTGAATTACACTCTATAATAAAGTCTCTAACCAGAGGTATAACAATCAATATATCATTTATATTCAAATCAAATTCTTACCTTTTAGGGGCATACACAATTTTCGTGAAAATCGGGGACCAATATTTCTTATTATGAAATGGATAACTTCTCAAAACCTAGAAAATAAAATAAAATAAAATATGAATACATCATGATGGTTGCCAGTAAAATAGTTACTTATGAATCTAATATAAATATAAACAGTAAGTAACTTTCATGCATGCTTCTTAAAGTTTTTGACTAAGTGTCTCAAACAATAAACATGATGGTTGCCGTGAAAAGCTGTAGGGATGGATTTTAGTAGCCAACTATGTCGGTTTATAATTAATGTGAACTTTCTGAAACTTGGTAAACCCGAGGAAAAATATTCTTCATCTTCAAGTAAAACCACTCTCAATTATCATCGGTCTTATCATCAACCACGACAAATGCTATAGTGAACAAAAACATCATTGGCATTCTTACTCACAACACTAATCAAACAACCTTTATATTTATTTTTAATGCGAGTGCCATCTAAAATATTAAGGTTTGGCAACCAGTTAAAAAACCAACAAGACATGAAAACAAATGAAAAAGTTAGCAAAACTTTTTCTCGAGGGTCGATCTCGCAATCGACAATGATTTCCGGGTTTGTCTCACATCCTGCATTATAGTACCATGTTAATCTGTCATAAGAGCTCTTGTATGCTCAATGAATATCATGCATGACAATTTTCTTCCCCATCTATGCCTTTTAGTACTTCAGCTCCAAGACATAGTTCCTGTGAAGGTCTTTTAATATCGCGTGCAAGACCTGTAACCTGGTTAATCTATCAATTTGTTCCTAATTATATTAGAGACCCAACTTCAGTTTGCTCTTGGATGGCCCTGTGTCCGAAGATTGGACACACCGTAAGTATGGACTATCGTACACTTTTGGGTGACAAACATTTGATCTACTCGGTATCTCGATGCATATATTCTCCATCTACAATCCTCATCGCTACAACAAACAATGATCTTCTGGCAATCATTTTTTCCGATACTTAAAAGAGTGCTTTTTAGAAACTACGCCATTTTTAACATGCCTTCGAAATTCATTTGTATGACTCAATCCGACGTGTATAGAGAAGATAAACAATTCATTATCGTAGGAACAACTCCGTAATAACTAAGATGCCCCTTCCATTGTATCTGACAATAATATAAAATTTCAAATGGGTTGGATAAATGAAACTTCATAGTTTCCAGCACAAACTAATATCAAAATACTGATGCCAAAGGTACCATAAGCATGCATCAGTGGTACAATGATCATCTACGAGAAAAAAACATAACCTAGCATAAATGGTTGGTATATATGAACAACAAAAAAAGAGATTCTTGTCACATTTTTTGTTTTAGGGTGAATATGGAAAACAATATTCAAAATTGAATCCTTAACAAAATATGAAGAATAAGATTTTAGGAAAAAATCATCTTACCGGACCGCTATTCCTGACTAAAGATAGGGGGAATAGAATAAGGTACGAAATGAAAGACAATTTTCGGACTCCTCAGTCCTCAGTAAATACATAGCTTGCTTACTACATTTTTCGTTGAAAAACGACAAGAAAAGAAGCGACGGGAAAAAGGGAAGAAGGGTTGACGGGGAGGAATTAGTGTGGAATAAGAGACAAAGAAAAACAATAAAAATTAGGAAAAGTTGATAATGGAGGATTTATGATGGATGAATTTTATGTATTTTGTTAGTCGTAGGTGGAATCGGGATTTGAATAATGATGTAATGGAATATAGTTGCGCTGGACCTGGAAACAGAAAACACTCTAAAAGACTTGACTAGGCCCAAACCATATACTAATAACAAATGACTGCAAAAGACTTGACTAGGCCCAAAATAAAATAAGTAAAATTAAAAGTTCGCCGTCTGTGGGACTCGAACCCACGACCACATGGTTAAAAGCCATGCGCTCTACCGACTGAGCTAAGACGGCATTTTATAAGCTTTGTTTACATAATAAAACATAAAACATTATTATTAATTTTATCAATATTTCAGCAACATTTTCCAGATTTGTTCATTTTCGTTTTTACCTTAAAACATAATTTCCCTGCTAGAGAGAAAACCCTAGATAAAGAAGGCTCGCAGATCGATCGTTACCCTTCCCCAAAAGTGAGAAGAAATCTCTCCGTTGGTCGAAGATGCTGAGAGTTGCAGGGAGGAGGCTGTCGTCTCTCTCATGGCGGTCCGGTCAGGCTACGCCGGCCGCGTTTGCGTCTAAGAACCCGTTTTCCGCAGTTGATTCGCCAGACGCCCCTTTCTCTCACATCAACCCTTTTTTGGATCAAATCAGAGGTTCGTTCATTTTTCCTATTTCATTAAAAAAAAATCTTTGGATCAGGCCTATATATCGCTCATTATGGAAAAATATATGATAGGTTGAAAGCGATCTGTTCTAGCTCCTTCAAATGACATGAGCTGCCTTTTCGTTTAGATTCTGATAAATAACTTTCATGGAATTTTCTTTTATAGCTAATTTTGATTGAATTTCTATTGAAGGCTTAGATTTATCATTTCAATTGATTCAATCTGGGGCCTTTATATATTGGGATTGGATGGTCTGGATGTTTTCTATTGCTTGTTGAAGTTGCTTTAGTTTGATTGATGAATGATGTGTAACAGTAGGCATTTGTTTCGTTGGCTCGTCAAATTTCTTATTTTCGGTAGGGTTTCATGTTAACATTGGCCATCTGTTTGTTTGGACTGTCAAACTTCTCATTTTCTTTATGGTTTTCATGGAGCCACTGGATGAGTTATTTTCCCCCATTTTTGCTGTGGTTTGTTGTTTATAGTTGTGACTGTGTTCTGTTTGGGCCAGTGTTGGAATAAATGTACCTCACCCATTGTACGATGAATGTTGGCGATAGCTATGATTGGTGGTATGTAGGTTTGATATTAACCATGAGTAGCTTATATTAATATGTATAATCCCTCTACAACACTTATCTGATACGAATACCATAGCATCATTAGACCTTTTCTTGAATGTCTTAGTGTGTTTGTCTATCAAAAAAATATGTTTATCGTTTTCAGTCATTGCCTGAGAAACGTATCTGGACTTAAAAAATCAGCTTGTGGCTCCTGAATACTTTGCAGAGTCTTTAATTTTCCTTTAAATCTTATTTCAAAGGATTTTTTTTTTTCTTCGTGTATCAGATGGACAGTCCTTCCTTTTACCATCTGACACATAATATATGAGTCTAAACTTATTGATTATAATTTGTGATAACTGACGTAGCCTACACTTTCTTGTGAAGCTCTCTCGGTCATGGTTTATCTATCATATTCATATCCTCGATAACCCGTGCAGAAAATAGGGGTTGATTCATACGCATCACCAAGGTTATTAATGTTTGCATTTACTCTTTTCGAGGAAGGGGGTAAACAAATGATTTGTTCCCTTCAAATCTTATTGTAAGTGCAATTTTCTTGTAACAACTCCCGTGTTGGAGGAGACTTTGAGCACCGGTGAGAAGGGTAGAAACATTAGAATTAAGAACATAGTTTTAAATGGCGAATGGCGAGGCGAGGCGATTCGCCGGCCTCGCGAACGCAAGCCATCAAAGCTTAAAAATATATTTATATAGATAGTAATATCATATATTTAAGTTTAAGTGCCAAAAATAATCTTAAATATCCTAAAAAAAAAATAACATAAATTTAATTTAGTTGTAATTACTAAAAGCATCTAAAACTTAAATGTGAATACTAACAATAAGGTAAATAAAAAGTGTAAAGTATAAGAAAATGAAAGAAAAGATGCTACACCCTGTCACCCTTGACTATTGACAATACTAATAAACATAAATAAAGTAAAAAAATGAAGAAAGAAGAAAAAGATTAGCGGCAGAAAGGGGACGAGAAAACAGAGAAAATGGAGAAGGAAAAGAAAGGAAAAGACACGCATCACCGACCGTCTTGGCGGCGGCGAGATGGTGGCCGGAGTTCAGAGGAGGCCGAAAATGGGATGGGTCTACCGTAAGTTTCTGCAATTTTCAAATCTGAGAATCCTAGGGAGTTCTTTCGCAGAAACCCTAGTTCTAGTTTGGGGAGAAGTCATTTAGGGATTTTTCACTGAAGTTTTTTTGCTTCGTGGGTCTGGGAAGTGAGGTGAAGAAAATGCTTGATCTGTTTTAGTTTATTCTCTTTCCAAAAAGTGGCACACGGCGGTGCGCCTCTCGCCACTCGAAAAGGCGAGCCGAGGCGATTTGAAGCGAGCGCCTTGCGAACAGGGTCGCCTCAGGCAGTGGCGAGGCGATATGGCCCTCGCCTCGGTCGCCTCGCCTCGAGGCGTCGCCATGGTGTCACCATTTTAAACTATGATTAAGAATGCAAATTAAAAGGGGGAGGGGTAGACTGAAGAAAACTTGGAAAGACAATAAAAAATGATATAAAATATTCACATTTAAGGATATGTGCTTTGATCGAGCATGATGGCGACATGTGATCCATATAGCCGATCCCACTTATTGGGATTTTAATGGCTTGTTGATTGATTGAACTCCCGTGATGGAAGAGGTGATTCTAGTAAATCACATTTTTCAAAATGTTCATATCTATAAAGTACAATTCAATACTAACACTTGGTTTGGTCTGTTTGGATTAGTTTCACTGGAGGGCTTTTATTTAGTTACTCAACACACTGGTTGATATATATGCAAATTGTTTCACTATATACATTATGCACAATTATTGAACGTGCTATTTTCTTATGTTTCTTTCATTCTTCATCACCCACTACCCATCTCTCTCTCTCTCTCTCACCAGCTATTATAAAGGTGGGCCTTTTTCATTTTTCCTTCCGAACAATTACACACGTAAAATAAATAAATTATCTTCTGTCCACATTTTGTAGGCTATTCCGTCAATACCCTCACGCCAGATAACCTCTCCTTGATCCCCGATATCCCTGCCACAGTGGCGGCCATCAAGTCCCCGAGCTCCAACATCACCTACGACGAGAGCAACCACGAGAGGTACCCACCTGGCGACCCTAGCAAACGCGCGTTCGCCTACTTCATCCTCACCGGCGGCCGATTCGTGTACGCCTCATTAGCCCGACTCCTCGTTCTCAAATTCATCCTCAGCATGTCTGCCAGCAAGGACGTCCTTGCCCTCGCCTCTCTCGAGGTGGATCTGTCGAGCATCGAGCCAGGGAGCACCGTAACAGTCAAGTGGCGCGGGAAGCCGGTTTTTATCCGCCGCCGCACGGAGGACGATATCCAGCTGGCGAACAGTGTCGACTTGGCTTCACTGCGGGACCCACAGGAGGATGCTGTTCGGGTCAAGAATCCCGAGTGGCTTGTGGTGGTTGGGGTTTGCACTCACTTGGGGTGTATTCCTCTGCCTAATGCAGGTGATTTTGGGGGTTGGTTTTGCCCGTGCCATGGTTCGCACTATGATATCTCGGGAAGGATTCGAAAGGGGCCGGCACCTTTTAACCTGGAGGTGCCGACTTACAGTTTCTTGGATGAGAATAAGCTGTTGATTGGGTGAGGGAGTTTAAGGGGAGAAGAGAAAAGCCGGAAACTTACTTTGATATTGTGGTTGTTTTGTAATTTGTAATTTTCTCGTCTGAGTGAGAGTTTCGTGTTTGTTCTGTTTTGCTTCGTTTTGCTGGGTCCAGGATTCTGGAGGGACCTCACCCCTGCTTTTTTTAATAATTCTGGCTGAACTTTTGGTTTGTTTTTAGAGAGGGTTTGATGATTTACAACATTTATGAATAAATTTTATTGATACATGTGGTGGGTGGCATTTTCTTCATCCTATACTTAGGAGTACTGCTTTTATTAAACGAGCCTTGCAGCTCAGCTCAAGCTCGGCTCATTAAGGCTGAAGCTAGAGGCTTTAACGAGTGCTTGATAAGACTGGAAAGGAGATTTTTTTATATAATTTTTTATAGTTTGGCTACGTTAATAGTGATAAATGAGTCGAGTTTATGCTTAATTTTTGGTTCGCTTATTTAACGAGCTGAGGGCTCGAGCTCGAGTTCTACTAGGCTCGTTTGCAGGCCTACTTATTTGAACTCAATTTTTTCCTCAACGAACATCAATTAACTAGTAATAGCGGCAATAGTCGATCCTACGAAGAATAAGAACTCAATTTTTACAATTTCGTATTAGTTGAAGTAATCTAATAAAGCATAAAGTTTTTCCTCAGCAAACCTCTTGTTGCAACGCCTATCTCCCACGCTAAGGTCGAGGTCGTCGGCTTGCTGCGTCTAGCATCTAGCCTTAAAAGTCCGCCCCGCCCGTCAGAGCTTCTGGTCCCGTGCTCCTCTAGCGTTGTGTCCAAGGAGATGTTGCCTGCTTGGCTGCGTGCAACCTTGGGTGCTCCCTCTTGGTCCCTATTTTTGAGCCTTATGGCGTTGCTAGAGTTTTCTTGGCGGCTCCCCCTATCCACTCTCTCCGGGCGTTGTAGATTTTCGGAGCTCATATCTGGACCGATAATTTTCTTTGAGTGTGATCTGTCTTGTTCCGATTTGGTGCTTTGTTGGGTCTTTGTGTTGCAGTGTGTAACTCGTGTGCCGATTCGAGATGGTCGTACGGTTTGCCTGCTAGGTGTAAAGGAGGTTTTAGTGTATTTGTTCATTAGGTGTACGTCGTTTTTGTTTTGTTATTTTTATTTTTATTTATTTTTTCGTTCTATTAGTCCAGTTTTGTCTCACTTGAGTTTTCTTCCGTATTTAATATATTTATCGTTTTAAAAAAAAAAGAACAAAGTCTCTTTGGTCGGTTGGCTGCGATGGCCATTCAATTCCTTCTCTTTAAACCTTATCAACTCCATCTATATGATAAGTATGAAATAAACATATTTTAATATCCTATCATTCAAACAAGAGATGCACAAAAACCATGCCGTGGATTAAACTGTTCAGTTGTAGCCCAAACCTTATCAAAATTGTAATGGGTATACGGATAAGTTTTTCAGCGTACACTTGACCCATATTTTCAGGAAGCTAAGGAGGATGGTCAACACAGTATCATCACTCCACTTGCTGACTTTTTCCATTCCTATTTGACTACTGACAATATACAAACACTAAATAAATTGTAGAGAAATTAAAATGGTATAAAAAAAAACAATCAATGGTAACCATTTAGACAACAAATAAGAACTCAACTTTCTTGAGTAAGGGTTGGCGTAAATTGATTGGATCAGAAAGTCTATAAGCCATAGGATTGCTCCTATGTGGAGTTATCCATAACTTTATGTATTGATACGTGTCGAATGTGTGTATTTATTGCAGGACACAAGTCAATATACCATTTGTGGATAACTATAGATGACTCCATAAACCGAGTCATCTAATAGCTCCATAACAACATCGCGGATCGAAAGCCGAATTCAAACATCGAGTCAAAATCATTGTTAGTCTCACACTCACAAACTATTGAATAGGTTTTTCAACAAAAAATCATTGTTGACTTAGTTGTATGTATTACATGTATCATATTTTATGTGTGAAAATTAACAAATTATACATGAATGCATATAATTTTTATTACAAATTAATAAATTATTATCCAATGCTTACACACATTACATTTTATTTTTCAAATACTTAACTATATGTAATATTAAATGTTGAGAAGTACCCTCTAGATGTTAATGGCACTCTTAGAGATGAGTTTGTTCACAATTTTAATTTTTAACCCATTCGTTCCACATGATGCATGTACCTTTAATTTTATCCAAATTGAATTATTATGGGGATCATTATTAGAGATCATAATTGATTTATCTGTATGTGCCTATCTTATTTCTGACCATATTGAATTATATATTATTAATTTTTCATGAGTCATGACTCAGAGAACTTGATACTATTATATTAGATTCATTTTTTTTTTCTTTTTAATGTTTACTAGTACTCAATATTGTGGACATGCACATATATAAACAATACTCCCTCTGTTTCGTTTTAAATGTCGTTGTAAGGTGTCAACTTTTTTGCAAATTAATTGTCGTTGGAAATATTATATTCATTCTTACATCTTTATTCTCTTTAACAAACATTATCTCTTATCATTATCTTTAAAAACCACTCATTAATAATTCAAAAACTTAATTTAATAAGATTAAAAAATAAGATTATTACACAACCCATTAAAATCGTAATTTAGAAGTTTTAAATTAAAACGACATTTAATAAGAAACGGAGGGAGTATGAATATTATACCTAAAATCATAAGTTATATAATTGGCATATTACATTTTTAAAATTTGATCTTTAGTAAAAAAATGAATAATATAGTTAAAAACTATTTCATTCATAGCATAATTAATTATTTATCAAGCTAGTATATTATAGCAACTGTTTAAGCCATTTTAAGGGGTTTGTTACTCCAATAAAATCCAATTAACTATTAAATAATAACTTGATGAGATGGAAACAAGATGATAACATTAATTTTAAAATAAATAGCTTGAAAAAAAAATTGCTATAAATTTTTTTATAAGCATTTTAGTGTCAATTTATAATTAGTAAATATTAGTAGTAATTAATGTATGGTAGAATAGTTAAAACAATATTATTATATTTTTAACTCATGCACAGTGGGATGGCACTTTTCATAATTACGTTAAAATAAAAATGAGAAAATATTATTAATTGAACAACCTACACTATATTTTTACTTATATATTTATATAGATTCTCCAAAACAATTTTCATGTTATAAAATCCAATTTTGACACATGCATATATGGATGGATAACTTAATATAAAAATAAATATAAATAAATAAAGTGCAAATGAAAAAGGTCAAAAGGAAATACCGTAAGTCCATGAGGACCATAACTAAGTGCGTGGGGACTTGAATCCGAAAAGGGACTATGATGATGAGACCCATCATACCGTAGGTTAGACGTGGCCACGGGCCCGCCGGGCCGAATTAAACCCGTGTTTTGGCCATGTCTACTGTTGGTTGTTTTGTCATTTGGTGGATTGTTGTAGCAAATTATTTTTTTACCGAGTACCGAATCAAAATATTCGTTCCCCGGGTCGATCTCTCGAGGAAGGCGGTTCGGAATCTAGGAATGGTGTTGATAACACATAAAAGAAAAATAAATCCTAAACACTCTAATCAAGATGAATTGGTTTTATCAACTAAGAATTATAGAATAATGCAAAAACATAAATCTACCGAGAATACAAATTAAGTAACGATGGAGAAACTAGGGAGTCGGGGATAATTGCTTTCGGCTCTAACACAACTACCGGGCAATCAATTGCTCGGTTAAAGGACTTGAATCATCTCTCGTTCAGAGGTTCACTCTCAATACAGTTACGAACAAGAGAATGAATGTAAACGATCGACTATCAGTTCCAGCAACGCATAGACAATACAGTTACGAACAAGTCTACTCTAGACGAGCCTATATCGACCAACGTCTCCCCTCTCGGTTCTATACGTTGATTTATTAGGTTAGAAAGGTGATCAATCTACTAACCCTAGAACATGCACAACTCGCATAGATATGAGCAATTAAGAACAAGCAATTATTATCGAACTTAATCAATCATCCCCTATCCCTAGTGAATGAATTAGTTACTCATATGAAATTCAACACAATCCATCTCAAGAACCCAAGCATTCATATTCAAGGATTAATTGAAAAGGAAAACTTACGATTAGTAGAGAATCAATAGTCGAATTCAATGAACAACTTAATCCGGAATATTTAAAGAAGAAAAGCCATCAAAACAACGATCAAATCTGAGTTTTTAGAGTAGGAGAAAGTAAAAAAACAATATTGAGGGTTGTTCCCACGAGTCCAAGGATCGTTTTGATATATAGTATGCGAAAAACGGAGCTAAAACGAGTAAAAACGGAGGAAAATAAAAACAGGGTCGGTAGGGTCGCGAGTCGCGAGTCAACTGGTGAGTCGCGAGTTAGGCGGGTCGCTGGGCTGCTGGAGGCTCTGTTAAAGTCGCGAGTCGCGACTTTATGCTCGCGAGTCGCGAGATTCTGGACTGCACTGCGCCATTTTTTGTTTTTGCCTCGTTTGAGCTCATCCGAACTCGGAATTGAGTTCCGTTTTTTCCTACACGTCGCTAACGAATCCCTCTATCCAATTATGCTCTCGAAAGAAACTTTTACAGAAGAGAAAATTCGCCCGAAGCTCCAGACCTACACACCAAAAACGACAAAACACAAAAGAAAACCGGAAAAAGAAACGAAAAACATCTAAAGACTCAAAATGTAGGAAAACACATAATAAAACAAGAAACGAACTTAAAACTAAAGAAACAACCTAAAACGGGGGTAAAAGAAAGATAAAATAAACACGAAAAATGCAACAAAAATGGGAAAAACATGGATAAATTACAAATTTGGTGTTATTACATTATGAAGTATCAATTTAGGTTCAATTGAAATAATCAAATAACATATATTATTTTATGTCGTAGAATTTAAAATCTTGCTACAATTTTAATTCTTTGGCCGTGATAGGGATTATAGAACCAACTCGACTCAACCTGACGAAAGCATGTAAAACCGGTGTCAAACGACCCGAGGGTCGAGTCGGAGGGACGAGGGTTGAATCGGAGAGGCAAGCATCGACCTAAGGGTCGATTACGGGTCGGCCGTAGGGGTCGAACAAGCGACCCGAGGGATGAACTGAAGGGGCGAGCATCGATCTAAGGGTCGATTACGGCCGTCGGGGTCGAACCGAAGGGGTGAGCATTGATCTGAGGGTCGAACTGGGCTTTGAGGTCGAGCACCGATTAAAGCGTACCCGGTCGACGGACTCTCGAGAGCTTATGACCACTAAAGGGAAAACCGTACAAAAAAACACTCTATAAAGAATTAATTCAACAGTTGCAAAGCAAGATTCATTAATTACAATCACTATTACATTTAATGCAAGTTATCCTTCAACTTCGAGATTTTAACTTGGGCACCGGAGGGTCTTGCGCCGGAGTAATTCTAACGCCATTTTCAGGTACCGACGTGCTCGTGGACTCGAACCAGACCAGACGAGTAGGATTTACACTCAGATCGGAGGAGACCTTTCTAAAGACCGAAGCAACATATCTCGGACCATATCAGACCGTCAAAATTTTCAATTTATATATCTGAGATGGATTTTTATTAACAATTTAAGACATGTAATTCGAAATTTTGTTGTAGTTTCAGTCATTTTGACTATTAAAAATTGAGATTTTTAACGGTCAAATGACTGAAATTACGACAAAATTTTAAATTACAGGACATAAATGTTATATGTCACTCCAGTGAGATCTAAATTACTACATTTATCTCTCTTATATATAATTTCCGAATGTGCTGAGCCTCTCGCATGCTTCGAAATCCTATGTGGCAAAATTTTATGCTTCATTATTTGACTTGGATAGATTTTAATTTACTTCTGATGCAAAAATAATTAGGTTTGAATTATCCATAAATATGTTTATTATATATGGTCATTTTACATGTATTAATTGCATTTTGATATCATTTCATATTATAACCATTGAATTGTAAGTGTATTTTAAAAGTTAATAACCTTTGTACTTTTTACCAGTTTTACACCTATAATATATCAAATTAATCATCTTTTGATGAGTTTCGATTTGACATTCATATTGTATGTATAAACATGTGTCCGATGACGTGGCTGAAAGTATTGAGTTGGCGTGCCATGTCATTTTTCCGATCGCCACGTCATTAAATTTTGGCCGAAAATTTTGTTTGAGACACAATTGCAAAAATTAAACAAGGTTTGTATTTTATGTGCAAAATTGAAAAAGTTTAGTTTTTTGCAATTTAACTAAAGGTGGTGATTTTAGTGGTAATTAACCATTTTTTTTAATTACACAAGCTTCGATTTATGAATTAGCACGACGATTAACTCCACTTTATAAATACTAGTATTCAACCTGTGCATTTGCACAGATATAAATAAATTATTGTGAGTCTGTATGCATATAATGATTAATTATTTTTCTTTCACTTTTTTGCAGACAAAATTTACAATTAAAAGAGTTGGAATATTTTTTTTTTAAATTGCGTTTATCTGATTGGATGTAATGTATATTTTGGTACGTCTTTTATTTGTGAATTATATATTATTTATTTAGGAATTTCAAATATATTTTTTAATTTCAAAAAAAAAAATTAAATGTAACAACAATAATAACATCTAATCACATTATACGGTCAACTGTCATTAATCAAAAGTTTAAAATAATTTTTGTAATTTTGAAGTGAAGAGTATTAATTATTTAATGATTAAATGAAATATTAAATACATCAAAATGTAACGGTTTTTGGAGGGAAAATTATTAAATTTCCACATAAGTAAAATTAAATAGGTTTTATTAAATGCTATTAGCTAGTAATTATATATATATATATATATATATATATATGNTCCTCAATTTAATGATTATTATAGTATTAATAGTCCAAATTTCAACTCCAACCTCAAACAAACCTAACCAACAAAATTTATCACCAAGAAGAATTCAATGACTTTAGAACCACAATAATTTGTAATAAGGTAATTTATATCAAAAGTCTGAAATTATCTATATTTTCATTTTTCATTTTAATCATGTAACTAGAATTCAGAATAGGCGTTGGTGAGGCCTGTTTGGAGTGGGATTAGATGTGGAGATAATTATTACGGCTGTGACCTTCAACAATTTAATTTTATTTTAAGTGTGGGAGATTATGTGGAAAAGCAATATTTTGACTCAGCATTATGTTTGGTAAAAACCTAATAATTTAGTTGATAATGACTGATAAGTTAGTTTATAATTTATAAATGATTTTTTAGCTTATAACAAATATGATATGACTTATAGCTGAAAAGTTAATTTATATAGTGAAAATATTCGTTAAAATTAGTTGATAAGATAGTTGAAATAAAAATTTTTATGAGCTAATTTGAAATGCTACTCAAAGAAGCTTGCTTTTTAAAAAAAAAATCGTCCTACCCAATGAATCTTATTTGAATACATGAAGTTTATAAGTTAATTAAATAATTATTCTCTTATAAGCTTATTTAGGCAAACTCGCCAAATGTGATCACTTTTAATTGCTGTAATATTTTGTCAATTTTGCTTAAAACTCAAATTCACATACCCTAAAATAAACATAAATCATTAGCATATCATAATCCGACCGTTGTCACAAATTCATAATTTGACCAAAGACCAAATTAAATAATCCCGTTCCAAATTCAGGTGTCCATATTGTTATAGTAACTTTTATCCTTAATTTTCGCAAAATTATATGCCTTTTCATCTTCGCCACAAATCTTATCCAAATAAGTGCCATCTGGATTAGATCATTGTAAGGAGAAAAACAAACACCAAATTAGGATTGTACCAATTGATCCGATCCGTCTACGCCTTATATTTCTTTTCGGATAATACTCAATAATCCATTCCCATGTACTCGTTTGGGTATAATTATTTCAATTTCAAAATATTTTTCTAATTTCAATTTCATTCCAATAACTGACAAATAATATAATTGTGAGTTGTGACATCATCATGACACTTATTATTTATTTAATAAAATGAAACATGAATTGAAAAATAATTTTGAAATCGAAAAATGTCAACATTTAGCTAATTGAACTCATGTATAATTTTAACCCTCAATTTTGTAACTTATTTAGTAAAATGCTTAGTCAGTTAGTTTTTGGTTCAATACGTAANAATAATGTCATAAAGTAACAATGCAAGATAAAATTACAGATAATTATACAATTTACTATTTATCAAACATTAATTTGCAAAAACTACTATAATTTATAAATCAAATCACTTATTACAATCTACTATTAGCTAATAACCTATTACAATCAACTATGTGTTAATATAGTCAAACAGATCTACAATATTTTATATAAACAGGGGAAGCTAAACAATAAAATAGAAAAAAAAAATATTGAAAAATTGCATTTAAGTCAAATTTCTCTATATATACATACTGTCCACTCTCGCCTGGCATAGTCTCCCCCTACTCTAAAACTCAATTTACTTTCTCTGCAAAAGCAACTTTTTCTATTCTCACATTTTCCTTTTCCAAATATCAGTGTAATTAAGAAAATATAAATATAAATTAGAAATATGGCGGGTGGAGGATTTGTGCCCGGCCCGGGCGGCGGGAAGGAATATCCCGGCAACCTGACGACCTACGTCATCGTGACCTGTGTTATTGCGGCCATGGGCGGACTTATCTTCGGCTACGACATCGGAATTTCAGGCAATTTGGATCTGAAAATGACTTTCCGTTTTTGCTTTCCGTTTTGCTGTTTTATTTACTTATTCGATTTTTTGTTCTTTTCGATTGGGACAGGCGGCGTGACGTCGATGGATCAATTTCTGGAGAAATTCTTCCCGTCGGTTTACCGGCGGCAGCGGGCGGACTCCTCGACGAATCAGTACTGCAAGTTCGACAGCGTGACGTTGACGGTGTTCACGTCGTCGCTGTACCTGGCGGCGCTGTGCTCGTCTGTGGCGGCGTCGTGGGTGACGAGGCGGCTCGGGAGGAAGCTGTCGATGCTGATGGGGGGAGTGCTATTCTGCGCTGGGGCTTTACTTAACGCGTTTGCGCAGGCCGTTTGGATGCTCATCGTCGGCCGGATTCTTCTCGGTTTCGGCATTGGTTTTGCCAATCAGGTACCTTTTTTTTTTTTTTTACAANTTGGGAAGATTGAACCGGCTTTTTTGGGGGGTTTTTTTATTTTCGCTTAGTTGGTTTGTGTAATGGAACTTGTTTTTGTTGATTTGTGTTGGTAAACAGAGTATAAACAATTTTGTAGTGTGTTACATAGATTGATATGCTTGCTATTGTATCTGTATGATATGACTGAGCAGTGAGCAACAATTTAGCATTATTTTTTAAGTTAGTGTATTATCAAACTTACATATTTTGACTATGTTTGGTTATTAAATAAACTAGCTAACTTATTTATTAATGTATTCAAATAAATCTTTTGTTTGGTAGGACGAGTTTTAAGCTATTTTTTCAGCTATAAAATATAAGCTATCTCATTAGCTTAATTTTACCAAGCAAATCTTTATCATTATTTACTATTTATCAATCACATAACAATTGCTTATTATATGACACTGCTTTATATAAAGAAAAATTATTAACTGTCTGTCTTATTTTGATAATTTTACAGTCTCTCCTATGAACACTGATGAGTCTATCTAATTCAGAAAAAAGATATATCTCTATAATTACCGTGTCCTAC